GTCGGAAGATATGGTAGCTGATTGCTTAACGAAGCCTTTACCAACTGAGAAGTTTGAGAAGCATCGTATAGCGATGAACGTGTGCAAGTCCTGAGCGCGTGGGAGTGTTGGAAAGTGCTCTTAGGTACACTCAGGCTTGACACTTCGGTAGTTTGATTAGTTGCCGTTATCCCAATACGACATCGGATCAGGATTGGCTACGGTATGCTTATATACTGCTTGCGTATCCTTTCTCTCTCTCTCCTTGTGTAACGATATGAGCGAGTGATGTGTTCACTGAAGGACTCTTATCTCTAACACGAGCACAACACGCGTGGCTACTGCACACCGTCGAATTTTTAAAAATAATCACCACTGCCGCGGTATGAGCTTACACACCCAACTGCAACGAGCGACCGGGAACCGTCATACCGTCCAGGTCCTATCGCTATTACTCGCTCTCGCGACCTGATGAACGACAGCAACAGCATGTAATGTACCCTTGCCGTTACAATTTTTTTCTATTGTCACAAGTCCCCGTAGTCGCCTGTAGTAAACAACATCGATCTACATTTCGTTTTTTATATTTGCAGTACATTGGTACCAATGGGTAACTTTTTGGCGGCGGCGGATCACGCACTGTGTGTGGGGGGTTGTTACAGTGGGCTCCAGACTCACAAAGAGTAGAGCCAGCGGGCCTGTCTGTTTCATGGAATCATGCCCCCCGTCTCTCACGTGGTCTAATAACTAAGTACGTAGGTTTGCCCCCAAAAGTACTTGTGGGTAGGTGCGGCTCCATTCTGGACTAGCTCAGGCCTTCCTAACTAACAAGTGGATATAGCTATACATAGATACCTCGTGTGGGCACTCGTGATCACCTCTCTAAATGGATAGCGCAACCGAGGTGTAACACACACACATACACACGCATATTTAGCCGCCGAGTGGGTGGGAGCCGTGGGGAGGCTCAGCTCAGCTGCACGCGGGGATGTGCCCACGCGGCGGTGAGGAGAACAACGAAATGCAATGGACAAAAGCAATGCGAACCGGGCATATTTGAAAAGTGAGCACGTGATCCGGCAGGACTCTGTCCGTCGTTGTACACACTTTACATGCCGCCGCATCGATTGCGCTGCTTGGCAACGGTCCTCATCCGGGAGCTCTGGCTATGTGGCCTCTGCAGGTTGGATATTATAACCAACAGGGAACGAGCGGGGCGGCAGCGGCGGCAGCGGCCCGCTGTGTGTCCTCGCACGGCAATCCAGGGGAGGCCACACAGCATCCCATCCGCGTTGCATACTGCACGCAGCATGTATAGATATGGGGGTATGGCTGTTAGGATGGCGAGGGATAGGGGTCCCTGCGGTGCTCGCGCTATTAAAGACTTCCCAGCTGGGCCTGATGCTGAGCCACACACGCCTTTATTTACCACCTTGACCACCTGCTAAATTGTTAGCTCAGCAGCGCCATAAAAAATCGCACAGATGTAGCTGCTGATGTGGTCAAATAAATCGCGCATGTTGTTGGAGTTGGGATGACGTTTGACGTTTTTGTGTTACAAGCTTCGAGCTTGTACGGTCCAAACGAGCCAAGAGGCTCATGAACCGCCGAACTGGAAACAAGAACCTATAAAGGTAGTAAATTATCCTTACTGTAAAAACATATTTAATCATCAATAAATTGTAATCTGCATCTTCTGATATGATCCAAAACATGTGCTAGTCCGCGTTGGTTCTCAACGCCCATAACGTCTATCATGCGGTCCTCAGGAGACACTCCAAGCTCAAATAGCTCGGTGCGAATATCCGCGTACGCAGGGCACTCAAGTAAAACATGACGCTCGTCCTCAACTGCTTGACGGTTCCCACATACACGACACCACCGCGCTGCTCTTTCGCTGCCATGAGGACGATTCACTGCAAGCGGCCACACACACATCCTAAAACGCATCAGCGTGACATGTTGCTTCGGCAAAATATATCCAGTGCAGTGTTTAGGCAACCCCATCCACTGCTTGTACCGGCACATTTTCACACCTGGTTGTTTGTTGTCGGAAACAAATGTCCTAGGATCCATTTCTAGTCGCTCACTCTCCCAATCGTCATCAAATCGCCTGCGTAACTCCTCCATCAACTGGCCTATATCCAACGAACATGACGTGAGCGCATCAACTCTAGCCTCAACATCCTCATCACCCGCCATGTCATGACCAAGAATCTCGAGTATCTTCAGAACCTTCGAACCCCAACCATCGTACGCCATGGATGAAATTAAAGCCAAACGTATCTCCTCTCTGAAGCAATGATGGTACACGGTGCCCTTCGCCTTAACCAGCTTATTCCAAAAACGGAATATCAGATTCGCCCAGTGAACTTGCAAGGGATATTGCCCAAACTCCCTAAACAACAGTCGATTCGTGGGAAGCCCCGCACCACCCAGTTGCTTTAGGAAGGTCTTCTGCAATTCGACCATCCTGTCCTGTAGCGAGTTATCGAAGTAACACGAGCGCGGTTCCTGGTTACGAGGATATCCTCTTTCCAGCACATCTAGAACCTTGGTCGGACCCCACACCTGCACTCCGTACGACAAAATGGATAGTACTTGTGCGTCAAACGCCTTCACCGAAACAGCTGGGACAAACAACCCCTGCCTCTTAAGCTTGGTAGTCAACGAGAAAAGCGCCCTTTGCCCTGACGCAAATAGTTCGTCTGTGCATGATTCAAAGTTGGGATGGATTTCGTAATGAACTTACCTTCTGCTGCATTCGTTACGGTGCCCACCCCGTACACGCGGTTTTGCGTCAGAGTTTAGTCTGTATAAACGAGGATGTCTAAAAGCGCTTAAGCTTAGCCTTGAAATTGTACATTATAATTTTTAAATATTCTTAATAATCCATCCATGAAACGTGACAGTAGTATTTCTCTTATCGGTGGGGTCCGGCGGGCGGGTTGATTTCATTCGTACAAGGAACACGTTTCAAGGACATTCTTAATTGCGTATTAGGTCATGGCTTCTTAGAAAACGTTATTGGCTAATGCTCATAAGTGAAAGGTTTTAGGGGATGAATCTCACTGTTTGAGGAAGACCGTAGGAACAGTCCCTACCTATGGGCTGTGTGGGTTACTATTTAGTTATGAAAACCGCCGCCGCTGATGGGTTACGGAATTCGGTGCTGGGGTAGAAACCATGAAGTGAAGTGTGTGAAGGCTTTGTCTCTAACTAGATGAGCACAGAGCTCAGGTGCTTCTAACTGCTGCTGAGGTCAAGCCGCCGATCGTGAAATGCCGGCGTGGTGACAGCAGCGCGGGGTTGCCTTCGTTCTCTTGCTGTCTAGGACGACCCCTCCCTGAAAGTCCTCCAATAAAGAGAATCAAAAAAATGGTGATAGCTAACCGTCTATCGGTGACCGCTCCCGTGAGCATATCAATTTGCCTGATACAATTCGCAAGAAGGGGTGATGTGCGCTAACAGAATCCCAGCCTTTCCGTGGAATTCCCAGAGCTGCGAAACCCTGAAGGCGGCCCCAAAAGTCAACCTCGACAAATGGCTCCTTCCGTAAGGGAAGGGCCAGGTAACAGTGCCGGGTTGGTTTTCATCTTTGCAACCATATATCGTCTCCCATGCTCCATGGCTGACACCGCAGCAAGAGCCACAACATCCCAAACACATTGTTGCACTGTTTGTGGGGCTTGGACAAGCCAAAGTTGTTCCCTTGAGACTGGCAATCCTATCGAAAGAGTGAGTTGATCTGCTACTGCCTGTGCCACCGGACAGGCCCAGAAGTGATGACAGCGAGGGGATACATCTCCCAGGGAATGTACTGGGTAACCTCCACAACCACACACTGTTGACCGCGACATCCTGGGATGGGAACTTCCTAACATGGGCACCCCATCAACCGTGAGACGCCACCAAACCTCTTTTTGCTCATTTTCCCATCGTAAATGAGACCATAAACGATGGAAGGTCCGTTGCAAGATAAGAATAGCCTCACCCAGTACCTCCGAAGAGCCCGTCGCCTCTTGCGAGCCATAGAAAGTGGCGAATGTTGCATATTAGTCGCTAATTTAACCAACCAAGCCTCGACACCAGGGTTTGGGTAACCGACTCAATGGAGGGCACCATCGCTTCCCTAGATTCTACACTCAGAGGCAACAAATGACTAGCCGCCTGTCGCCAATGCGCCGGGATATCAGCTAAGAGATCGACAATGGCATCCATACATTCGTGCCATTTACGAAAGGTGCAAAGGGATTGGGCTAGTGGGTTCCGCGGTTGGAGGTATTGCTTAAACGTCATCGCGTGATCCGTACTCACTACTAACTTATTGTGGGGAAGGCCATTGCGTCTGCGACCACACTCCCGCGGTACCCAAACCCTTCAAAGACAATTCCGATCAGCCATTTGGCTGTTAGTGGGAGGGCGGGTGGGCCGCTCGCACGGCAATCGAGTAGAGAGTACGAAAATAACCTAATGCAGTCATCGTCAGCAGAAAACGTAAGCCTCCAGCCTCATGCCGACTCTCTTACCTACCATTCATATTTTCTACCTCGTTCCCAAGACTCCGCTGCGTTGCCTCTAGTTCGGCTCGTGCCACAGGTAACTTCGCTCGTCGCTACTTTGCCATTCACCTTCGCCTCCACCCAGCCTCTGCTTCTCCACAGAAGCGGCGACCTCCTTCGCCGTTGTTACGCCTCGTCTATGCGAATCCTCCTCCTCCGACTGTGTCTTCTGCCTACCCGGTGCGCGCCCCCTCTCTCTGCGCATCCTTTTCTCCGGCCCTCTCTTACGGTTGCCTACCTTACTGCAGGACTCGCCCCTTGCCTGTCCGGTGCCGGGCAGGCTTTCCTTGCCTTCCCCGGCCCTACTTGGGGCGCCCCTCCTCGGCTCGTCAACTACCTTACTTCCGTCCGTTCCTGCCCCTCGGGGGCCCAACCCCTCCGCCCTTTCCGTGGGCCCGACGCCCGCTCTGGACTTATCTCACGCCCCCGGCCTCTCCGATGCTGCCCCCCCGGTAGGCTTGCCCGCGCCTGAGTCCTGTCTCTCCTCTCCGTCGCGCTTACCTCCCCTACCTTCTTCTGCCCGCCAGGCACTGCCGGAGCCTACTCTGCCTCAAATCTTGGCCGCACGCGTCCGCC